GTGAACTGAAGAGGAGAAGCACCATCATGGAGCTGGGAATCTGAAGGGTCTGGAGAGATTCTGGATGAAGGAATGGTCTCTGATCTCTTGTCAGGTGCTCTCTAACCTCATCAGGCATTATAGGAGAAAACGCAGAGCTGTTATTATGCCAAATGGAGGTTTCAAAAAGTATTGAATAAAAGGGTGCCGTTAATTGTGGCCAATGTGTATTTGAGAAAAACATTTATTTCATAATGATATTTCCCCCCCATTTTAAATTCTTATTATGCAATGAAAGGTTAGATTTTTATGAATTTTTTTAAATAAAAGATCAAAAAGATTAACAATGGAGATTAATTTTCACAGCCTTCTTTGATCATATTTACCAAGGGTGGCGATATTTTTGGCCATGACTGATATATATTACACACATTCACACACTAAAAAAATTACAATTAAAAAACTTAAAAATAATAAGAGTAAAAATTATACATTTCCAAAAGTCAATACAATACACATCATCAGTTCTGGATTAAATATAAAATAATTTGTTTTATAGTATAGTATATACACTACCACTCAAAAGTTAAATTTGGACAGTAAGATTTTTAATGTTTTTAAATAATTATCTTCTGGCTCACCAAGCCTGCATTTTTAAAAAATCCAAAATACAGCAAAAGCAGTAATATTGTTAAATATTTTACTATTTAAAATAACTGCTTCCTATTTTAATATATTTTAAAATGTAATTTATTCCTCTGATGACAATGCTAAATTTTCAGCATCATTACTCCAGTCTTCAGTGTCACATGATCCTTCAGAAATCATTCTAATATGCTGATTTGCTGCTCAAGAAACATTTTTTTTTATTATTATTATCAATATTTAAAACAGTCGAGTACAAAACAGTTTTTCAGAATTCTTTGATGAATTGAAAGATCCAAAGATCAGCATTTATCTGAAATAAGCTTTTGTAACATTATAAACTACATCATTCAAAAGCTTGGAGTCAGTATATTTAAATAATTATATATTTATTATTAAATTATTAAATTATAGAAATTAATATTTTATTTAGCAAGGATGCATTAAATTGATCAAAAGTGATGAGAAGGACATTTATAATGTTACAAAATATTTCTATTTCAGATAAATGCTGTTCTTCATACTATTCATCAAAGAAACCTAAAAAAAATCTACTCTGCTGTTTTCAACATGGTAATAAATAATAAATATATTTTTTTAGCAGCAAATGAGAATATTAGAATGATTTCTGAAGGATCATGTGACTAGAGTAATGATGCTAAAATCAAGCTTTGCAATCACATGAATAAATTACATTTTAAAATATATTCAAATAGGAAGCGGTTATTTTACATAGTAATAATATTTCACAGCATTACTGCTTTTGCTGTATTTTGGATCAAATAAATGCAGGCTTGATGAGCAGAAGAGAATTCTTTAAAAAACATTAAAAATATTACTGTCCAAAAACTTTTGACTGGTAATGTAGCTGTAACTGTATAAGTAAATGTAAATTTAAAAGTAAATGTAAAAAAAAATGACAAGTTTAATATTGTAATTGCTAATATTGCCCACCAGGGGACATCATCTGACTGTAGGCACAGTGTGGTGACATCGTTTTTAATCATTTTAATATAACATTTGGAATTTTTTTTACCTGACGAAGACTGCATGACTGAAACATTGTATTAAAATGTGATTCACAAGCTATAGCAGTGTGTGGGATTCTACGTGTCTGCTTATATGATTTACTTGTGGTTGTGGTGGCATTTCATTTAGATTTTTGACCGTTGTTTTGTAAAAAAAAAAAAAAAAAATTTTTAAAAAAAAAAAAAACTAGTTTCTTTTTTTTTTTTTTTTGCATTACCATTCACTAACAATCAGAGGAGACTTAAATTGACAACATAATAGAAAATACTACTCAGATTCTTCCATTTATTCTCTTATGATTCATCTTACAATGGAAGGTTGTGTTTTCCTTAAATTATAAAATTCCAATGGAGGTATCTTACACTGAAAAAGGAAACTTTGTTACACCATACAACTAGGCTGCTGATAAAAAAAAAAAACAGGAGAGACTCCAGACAGGAAGGAAGAACGTAAGGGAAGAAGAGTATTGCCTTGATCCAGTTACAGATCATTTTAAATATGACTACATTTCACATGAAACCTCCTCAAACAGAGAGACCAACACTTGACAACAGAAACTGCATAGTGTCTGTACAATGACCGTCCACAGAGTTTAAGACAACATGGGCTCCAGAGGCCCCTAAAAACACACCTTTAAAAAATCATACCCAGTCAGCCTGTATCGGATATCACAATGCAGTCTTCTTTCTGAAAAAGCAACCCACAACCCTGGTTATTAATGTCAGTAATATTCCTTTAAAACACTATGTATTTAAAAAAAAAAAAAAAACACCTTTTCTCAAAAGGGCAAAATCCTTTTCTTAAAGGTGTACAGTCACTTTACAGCTTTTCAGTGACCTATGTACAGACACTTGTCATTGGAATCTTTAAATAACATCCATTCCCACTTTGAATCAGTCAGAAAAGCAAGATGAGTGACGCTTTAGCATGCCAAGACTCAGTGTCACTTTTGGCGATTTGTTTGGTTACAGTAAGAAAAATTGGGGTTGACAAGATTTGCCGTTTCTATGGTCAAATGAGCCCGAGTTTCTGATTCATATCCAATCAGTAAACCCACAGTTATCTCAATCTCTGATAATATCCTGGTGCTCCAGCACTCTTGACGAAATAAATCATTAAATTAGGTTCATTTGGCAGCCGTATTCCTAATTTCTGAGAGTCTTTTCTCTCTGCATTTAGACAGGTTTCCAATTACAGTCACATGACACATGATAAGCTGACCGTCTTTGGGTAAACATGCTTTCCTCTGCTACCCGGGATCGAGTTTAATCTGAGGAGAGGAGCTAATGGGTGTCCTCCAGACATTCACCACCACAGGGAGGTTGTTTGGTTGTAATGAAATGTGTCTCAGTGGTTGGTCTGCTTGTCCGCCGTTCAGAAGTTAAGCTTGGTAATTGGACGCTCCCTGCCGGTGTCTGACGTCTGGCTGTTGATGCGTTTGCGATTGCGCTTCATCTTCGACAGATCTTTATCGAAAACCTCTCCAGAACGCAAAGCCGACACCAGGTCATCAAACTCGCCACCATCGTCCTCTCCGTTCTCTTTGGCTTTTCGAGCCTTCTTCTCTCTCTCCCTCTGCTCCTTGAGCTGAAAGATATCAAAAAAATGATGTCAGATTTGGCAGTGAATAGGTGAAGAATGAAGAGATGAATTATGGACCTCTTAAGTGTTTTGGCTTGAGCATTATTAATTATAGTATTGCAGCAGATGCTGTCAGTTGATTAAGCGTGTGTTCACATTTGGCATGTTTGGTTCGATTAAAACGAACTCTGGTGCGATTGCTCTGTTAGTGCGGTTCGTATGAGTAAGTGTGAACGTTGCCGTCCGAAACCTGGTGCGCACCAAACAAGCGGACCGAATCCAAACGCACTCTGGTGCGGTTCGAATGAAATATGAACGCAAAATGGACCAAATGCTTCGAAACAAACCAAAAACAGGAAGTACTGACAAGATGCGACATGATTTGATGAAGGGAACAAGCGGTGTATCCAAAACAAAATGAGCAGAGGGCAAACATAGAGCAACGAGGAGGTAAACTGCCTTTTATGAGCTCGCTCAGTCCAGCAGGCAGCATTAGGTGTATTCGACTTAAAGCGGCGCTGAGCAGACCGATCAGTGAATGGGAACTTTGAAGTAATACACCAAGTCAAATGTACCTTTTCCTCTTGTTTGGGGTGTTCGATGAGTTCCGTCACAAAATATACGTCATTCAAGCTGACCAATCAGGTTATGAACGTATCACTCTGCCTTTAGGTTCAGTATCTATAGGTTCGCTGTCAAAAATGGCAGTGTGAATGCTACCATGTATAAGTTAAGTACTGTATATGTACATAGAGTACTTAAACAAGCTTATGTATGTTTATTAAAAAGTGAAAATGCTGACGTGAAATAATGAAAACTAAATGGTTGAATGTAATTAAACATTTTAAATGTAAAATAATTTAAAGTTTTGCAGTCTAATACAGAATATACAGAGGTGCAATTTTAAATATGACACTATTTTTGTATAATAAATTGAATAAATGTATAATAAATTTAAACTTTGAATTTTCTGGATTGGTTATATTTTCTTATTAAATAATAAATAACTTTTAATAATAAAGAACCCTTAAATGGTTCTAAAAAGAACCATCTAACTTGGATTCAAAGAACCATTTGGGGTTCTTTTTAATGAACCCATTAAAATGGTTCTATATAGAACCATTTTGGGGTTCCATATATGAAGCGGGTGATAGAACCATTTCTGGTTCTAAATAGAACCATTTCTTTTAAGAGTGTAAGCGGAGCAGGACCAAATGTATCATTTTCCTTTATGGTCCGGACCAAATGAATCAAACGAACGGAACTACAAGTGTGAACACACCCTAACTTTCTCAGCTGAGATTTTTTACGTTTAAAAAAATAAATAAAAGTAGCAAAATATTTGTTGTAAAATATAGTATCTTTGCGAACATTTAAAAAACATTAATAATTGACAAATACAATTATTACTAATTTAAAGGGGTCCTATTATTGCTCAAACAGCAACATTACAGACTAACTAAAGTTGAAAAAGTGAAAAAGCATAATAGGACCCCTTTAAAATAACAATAACTAAAGTCCCTTCACACCAAGAACAATAACTGTAAAGATAACGATATTAGCGTCCACACCAGCGAACGATATCGTCTGTTCATTCTAAGCGCACGTGCGTCTGCCGCTTTAAATTCTCGAGCTCGTTATAGCAGGATGGATTCTGATTGGCTGTCAATGTTTGTATCATTCATCAGCTGAAAAAAAAATAATTCTAGAAGTGATTCCAATGATATCGTTTCTCTGTGCCTTTATCGTTATAGTTGTAGTGTGTACTCTGCTATTCTTTAATATTGAGAACGATTTTTAGAACTATATCTTTATCGTGCTATCATGCTTTATAGTTATCGGGCCTTAACAATTGTTACTAATTTACAATTACAATAAGCATATAACTTAGCCACCTACCAAACAAGGATTTCATTGTTTTGTATATACTATAAATGTTGTAACAGCCTCGTTTATAATGGGTTTTCATGTTTTTGAATCATCGCTCCGGCCTGACAGGGCATCATCACAGTATGGTAGGGGCTTAACATTTCCGTCACACGCTTGAGGTATTCGGCCAATCACAACGCACTGGATAGCTGGCCAATCACAGCACACCTTGCTTTTCAGACCGATGAGCTTTGTAAAAATCGACGCATTTCAGAAAGGCGGGGCATAGAGGAGAAACAATAATGTGGAAAATAATGTGTTTTTTGAACCTTAAACCGCATAAACACATTTCATTACACCAAATACACAAAATAATGCTCTTTTTAGCAACATCAAGTTTTACCAAAACTTCAAATTGAATTTAATAAAAACACTTCACAGACCTGAGCCTCCATTCGTGCCCTGCGCTCCTCCTCTTCTTTGCGTCGGCGCATGTTCTCGTTCTCTTGACGGGCCTCTCCAAAGGACTGCAAGAACTGGTCGAATATCCCAAAGAACTCATCGGGCTGCATCTTATCAGCATCTTCACCAAAGTGCTTGACCGCCTTTAAGAACTGGAGAACAGAAGCACTGGTCATATGAAAGCCATTTCCTGCTCTCTTTACTTTCAGAGTAATGACGTGAACATGAATACTTCAAGATGTAGTGACAATGAAATAAATAAACAAAAATGTTCATAATATTTTTAAAAAATATGTAAAGAATGTTTTAAAGTGCAAACCAAGAGGAACAACAAATTGCAATGAAATGGGCAGACAGCAGCATAACAAACTCTGGGGGTCTAATGAACTTCTGGTAAATGAAGTGTGTGACGCACTGCTAGTTATCCGGTCACCGGTAGCCAAGCATAAAGTGGTCTTGTTAACCCAGATTTCTCCAGTGACTGATTACAGCCTAAACACAGGGGACTGGAGTCTTGCCATGGCACTGCTGCTGCCTCGTGACGTCTCACCACAGGGGAGGAGGCCTAGTCTTCCCACAATGCCTTTGATGTGCCTTTATCACTGCCATATGGAACAGCTCCTCCAGGCCTGTATGTGCCTGAGCCAAGGGGCATATTTTTATTTCTCCTTTGCCCTGCTTTTATATCTCTTCTTATCTGTCTCAGACTTCAGACAGGAGGCCTAGGTTGGGTTGGAGATACATCTTTTCTGCTATAGAATGCATGTGGCATGTTATTGTGCATTTATGTGTAGGCCCTCTCTATTAAGATATATGCATTAAAATACAATTTATACATGGGGGAAATAAAATTTTACCTCTCATGATAGCATTATAAAGAAAAAGGCTCATTAAAAAGTAAATAAAATTTAATTAATTAAAAATAAAAAATATTTTGGCATAACCTATTAAAAATATTTATTAGAAAAAATATATATTTTAACTGTTTCACTGCTTATTAATATTTGAAAGACACTGAAAAAAAAAACCCAAAACAGATGATGATATCATAAAGAGTACCCCTGTGTGTATCAAGTCAGTAAAACTCTTAAAATATCAAATAATTTGCAGTGGTGGTATTGTTAACTGATATTTTTCAGTAATTTAAATAAAACTGAAACAAACAAAACATATTCGATGAAAAACTAAAATTAAACAAATTAAACTAATATAAAAAAGACAATGCAATGCAATGCTAATGTATTAATAAATAATATTATAGTATATAACTAATACTAAAATAACATTTTAGTCATTTTTGACCATTTTATGACAACATAAGGTTAGTTCAGGTTGTAAAATGTGTGGTGTGACTGATATTTATTAATAATTCATTCTATTTATTAAATAATACTTTATACTAAAACAAACTTTACTACATTAACTAAAATTAAAACTAATATTAAAATAAAAGACAATTAAAAGCTAATATATTAATAAATACTATTATAGAATATAACTAATACTAAAATAGCATTTTTGTCATTTTTGACCATTTTATGACAACACAAGGTTAGTTCAGGTTGTAAAATGTGTGGTGTGACTGCTATTTATTAATAATTCATCATATTTATTAAACAATACTTTATGCATTAAATACTATATCATATATCATATAAATATGAAGCCAACATGAACACAAAAAGTACATTTCTAAGAACTTAAATGTGGGCTGTCCCATTTATGAGAGATTTTAACATTCAAAACAGTCACAATCCTGTCATAAAAGCCCAATATCATGAATTTGCTGCACTTTACCTTTCAAAAACCTTGACATTTTATATGCCCATTTCCCCTCACAGGACTGGAAGATATTGTGTAGCGTGCGTGTTAACAACTGCCTGCCTCCCTCTGCACAGATGGACCTCTCGAAAGCAATAAGAGTTATATGTTCTGTTCCCTCTCTGTGTCCTGTGGGGCCCCCAGAGGCCAGTGAAAGTGCCAGGGTCGCTACATAGAAAGCGTTCACAGCAAGAGGCTGAAGGTCAGCTCCTGCACGCAGCAGGACGTCCAGAGTGAGCGCAGCCTGTTTCTCCAGCTGGCCTTTGAAGGAAAGGCTGAGCACCAGGATGTGCATCTTAAAGATACACACTCAAACAAACAAATGCAGTCCATCACACACTCACCAGTACTTTGGCCTCGCTGAGGGAGTCCTCGACATCAGAGAAGCTGAAACTGGCCACTGTGATGAACTGGCTGACTACTGACACAAACTTATCCCCATACTCCTGAGGACGCTTCTTCTGGAATTCGAGCTCCTGCATGAGAGACAGAAACTCTGTCCTGTACATGATTTGCTTTTAAGCCTGAAAAAAAAGAGGAATCATGCAGCACTTACGCTCTCTACGCTCTTCAAGCCACTGCGAAGATTATTGATCTCCTTCTCCAGTTCAGTCATGCTGGAAAGACACAATCGTAGAGATCCCAGTCATTTTATGTGTGATCAAGAATGCATTTTCTACAGGAGACTGGGGTAAACTGTGACACTTTTAAATTAAGCTGTCCTCCAGGTAAGGAGAAATTATATAAAAACATAATTTAGTCAGTCTACTATAAAATCCATAACAACGGGACACAGAAAAAGGATATAAAAAAGGGACAAGCGGCAAGTTGAATCAATGGGGAATATGTGAACAAGTATATTTTACTGAATGTAAAAAAAAAACACAATGCTTTTTAGAATATCTGAATGTTGTTAAACAATTTTAAACTTTTTTTATATTTAACTATTGAATATTATTTGTGTTTAATAGTTAAAAATATGAGAGAAAACTTGTAATTGGAGGCAGATCTTACAATTATTATTTAATATTTGCAGCATCTGACACATTTACCCCACAGCTACTATTCTGTAAATATTAATACCTGGCAGTGATCTATAATTTAGATAATTGAAATAACTTAAAATTTACCAACAAGTATTATATATTTTGTTTTTAATTATTCTATTTTTATATAAATTAAATTTAAATGCATTTTTATATACTTTTTGTTTCATTTTCCATACATTTATTGTACTTGCCATTTAACTTAAAAAAACGGGTAACACTTTACATTAAGGTCCCAACAGTTAGGGGTCATCGGATGCTCATTTGATGTAAGTTGATATGATTCTTTAGGGTCTTAATGAAATGTCTATAACATACTTTGGTTAAAATTTCTCAATGGTAGTGTAAAACAACACCTTTTTACCCTGTCAAAATCAGCTCTGTTTTTAGCAAGCAATTCTAGTCCATGTTGCTTTAAATGCTAATGAGCTCTGCTCACCCCACCCCTCTCTTCTGTGGACATATTAGGAAAGGCGATTTGCAAAGATTCATAAAAAACCTTGTACCCAATTCTTGCTTCCCCTGTAGCGGAGTCGACACAATGGCAGACTGATGACAGCTCGCTCAGGGCGGGTCTAAGGTAAAACGGTCCTGTCAATCAACTTGCTATGTTCATTATTACATCCAACAACAAAACACCTCAATCGCTTAATCGGAGACATTCTTGTCTTCCCCTGTAGCGGAGTCGACACAATGGCAGACTGATGACAGCTCACTCAGGGCGGGTCTAAGGTAAAACGGTCCTGTCAATCAACTATCGTGGGAGGAGCCTGTGCAGAACTACGTCATTCTGACAGGAATCTCAGAACAGCCTGATTTGAGAAAGGGGATTTAAAAAAAACACTGGGTGGATTTTTATCATTATAGGATGGATGTTTACACACTTCCAACACACATTTATGTTCAAACAACAACAAAAGTGAATTTTGCATCCGATGACCCCTTTAACAATGAGCAATACATTTGTTACAGAATTTATTACAATAGTTAGTTTGTTATCTTAGGTCCATTAAAATAATATTTAAAACAAATCAAACTTTTTATTTTAATAATATACTGTAAATGTTGAAATTTAAATTTAATTTAAACAATTACATTAAACATTTATCTTTTTTTTCAAAATGTGTTTTTTAATATTTATATCATATTTAAATATATTTTAATACTAATTTTATATATTTTTAGCTCAATTTAATGATTAAATATTTAAATATGTACTGTACATCTCTCAGTCACAGTCAGCAGTATGGGCCCTTTTAAAATATATGGCCATATAACCAAAATCTCCATATGCCATACAGGCTGACCATTTTTAGCCTTTTATCCAAACAGGTCACACTGATAAGAAGCTAAGATATGTCTAACAGGCATTTATCTGAACTTTAACCCCTGTGCTAGCACTAAAGTGACTCCATTAGTCAGATACTGCATATAATGTGTGTGAACGGCTCCGTTTCGAGCCAGCTATTCTTAGCTGCACAAATGACCTCCTCAGTAGGACTGATAGCCGCTTGTCTTCAATCTGTGCAGCCTTTATTCCTCCCTCCACACAAATAGGCCATTGTAACGGACTGAACCGTCAAAGTACACAGAAACATGCTTATGGAAAAACCTGTCTGCACTTGCTGACTGGCCACTCAAACTCAGTGTACCTTGTGACCCTGGAACTTATTTTTATTTGCTGAATAAATGACACTGACTTATAGACTGAGTCAAACAAACAGAATCCTTTGTTTCATTCTTTCTACCCCCTCAAATGAGATCACGGTCTTGTGACTTCACTTGTGGACTGAGCATGATTACATTAGTCTCGCTGGCGCGACTAAAAAGTAGTTTAGTGGCCGTTCTACTGTACATTTGGATAGTCCCTTTAAGGCAATGACTCAAAATTAGAAACTATTTTCCAAAGGGTGAGAACGTCACAAGCATATCACTCACAATTTGGGCCAAATTTGCTGGCACGCACTTTACAGCAGCACGCAGATCTCGAGAGGTCATCGAGTGGAGATCTCTCTGCTATGGTGGTATGCATGTATCTCTCTTCCGACTATGATTTAGGGTTTTACTCTGCATATGTGAGTAAGTAACCAAAAGCTTGTATGACCCACAGCATGGATTCAAGCCCAGTGGTGGGCAGGACGGGAGTGACACCGCAAAAACTATTTCCAAAATCCATTTAGCGCAAGTAGACCCTAAAGGCCTGTAAATCCTAAAGCTGATGATAGAAGCGCACACCAGCCACTCTGCAGCTGTACCTACTTTACTTTTGCAGCTTCCGGCACGTTCGGCAGCTCCTCTGAGAAGATCACGACTTTGGAGTACTTCTTCTCCAGAATGGTGATCAGGTAGTGTAGGAGAGTGATATTCCTGCAACGGGACAAAGACCACAATCAATGTATGAATATAAAAGCTAGAAATAACTGTCTTATTTTTTTAATATCTTCTCACTTGTCGATGCTGGACTTGGTGTCTGCAATCTTGTTGAGTGAGGAGATTTTGAAGCCGTAAGCGTTGCCTCTCTGTCCTTTGTTCATGTAGTTGCCGAACGCCAGCACCACCTCCAGCAACTGCTTGAGATTTCTACTGTGCAGCACCTCTTTTGAGGCCTTGGACAGTGCTGAAAAGTGAAACACAAAGAGTCACACACAAGCCTAAAATGTTTAAATGTTCATGAACTATACTGTAACAATACTGTAATCATTATCACTAACAAATTTAAGCAGTTGAATATTAGTAGAATAGTCTGTTAATTGTGCCATCATAATGTAATATTGTGAAATATTGTTACAAATTGAAACTATTTTCTATTTGAATATCCTATAAAATGTAATTTATTCCTGTGATGGTAAAGCTGAATTTTCAGCAGCCATTACTCCAGTATTCAGTGTCACATGATCCTTCATTCTAATATGATGAATTGGTGCTCAGTTATTAATAATGGTTCTTATTATTATCATCATCAATGTTACAAACAGTTTGTGCTGCTTAATATTTTTGTGGAAACATTATTTCAGAATTCTTTGATGAATGGACATTTCAAAAGAACAGCATTTATTTGAAATAGAACCTTTTGTGACATTATAAATGTTTTTACTGTCACTTTTAATCAATTTCATGTATATTTTCTGAATAAAAGCATTCATTTCTATTAAACACACACGCCCAAACATTTGAATAGTAGTATGTCATGGTTTCAGCATAAATATTAAGTAGCACAACTGTTTTCAACATTAATAATAATAATAATAATAATAATAATAATAATAATAATAATAATAATAATAATAATAATAATAATAATAATAATAATAATAATAATAATAATAATAATAATAATAATAATAATAATAATAATAATAATAATAATAAATGCTTATTGAGCAGCAAATCAGCATATTAGAATGATTTCTGAAGGATCATGTGACACTGAAGACTGAAGTAATGATGCTGAAAATTCAGCTTTGCCATCAAAAGAATAAAATACATTAAAAAATACATACATTTGTTTTAAATTGCAATATTATTTCACAATAAGTTTACTGCATGTACTGTAAATCATAATGTTTTCAAACTTTTGGAAAGTGCTTATATATAAAATATATATATAATTTTAATTTATTTTTATTATATTAATTATACATTACTTTTTAATTAATCTAAATATTAATCAGAATATTCTGCACTTGAATACAGCAATTCTTATATACTAAAAATAAATAAATAAAAAATGTTTTTAAAAAAATGATCAACTGATTTTTGCAATGCAAATGTGTTTAAAGTGCACATGCACAAACCTTCAACTTTAGGTTTAATTTCTGCAATCCTCTCTGCAAACTTCTTTTTGAAGTACAAAGACTGTAACCTCTGCTGGTAATGGTTTATTCTGTGTGAAGGACAAAGAAAGAGGATTGGGCCAGGGAAAAATATCAAAGCAAGGTCCATTAAAAGGATTGCACACTAGATCACCCATAATAGATTCTAAATGAGCTGTAGAGATTTACTGTCTTGCATATGACACAATAAAACACACATGATCTGTATACACAGCATTAATGGTTCCACTGAATAAAGAACAAACAGTCTGAAGCAGTGATCTGAACCTGACGCTGCTGTGTTGCATTCAGCACTCTCGTGTCGGGAACAATCACCTTGGTTACCGCACTTGCCGAGGGCCTAAACACAGCCTTAGAGACTAAAATCGGACAAGCCAGTCGATTCTTGGAACGATTTGTCTCCCATCCTCTATACCCCAAACCCATCAGCCACAGCGGAATGAAAAAAAAAAAAAACTCACTAGGGTCTCATAAACAGAGGAAGAAAAAGCAAGCAAGCCAAGGCACCTGTGCTTTGTTTGGCTAAGCTCCTCTGCTAGAAACCTGCATGTCTACGATAAGATAGTACTTATTTAGTTACAGAAAATATTGATGCTGAATGGGACCCTCAGTCTGACCAGATCAATGTGTCACCCAGGATTCATAACCCTTTTCCTTCCTTCCTACAGGAAATCGCATTTACTTCTAACACCACGTTTGAGTGTGTGGAAAAACGAAACAGATCTGAATAAGCCACTGTACAGTGGTGGGTGGCCTTCACGGATGAGATATTCCTTACATACAACGTACTAAGCCAACATCATGAAATCCACTGTGTGGGACTGTGGAGGTGAACAGCACGATGCTCATTGCGGTGCCAAGATGAAATAAAGATCCAAGCCAATCAGCAATGGGGCTTATGGGTAGTGTGCAGCAAAATGTAGGTATCAGGTTAAGTTTTTGGAGCTCCTTAATAAAAATGTCTTCATTTTTGGAGTGGGGAGCATTTATTTTTGAAATGGACAAAGACTAACTTAGTTAAGCCCTCACATTTATCTAATTAAATAAAGCTCCTCATGATAAAAGTAGAATTGTGAGAGAAAAGGGAAAAGTTAATCAAATTAGGGTCCATTCACACTCGTGATGCGTTTTTTTTACTTCTTTTTACTCGAGATGCATCACAGTGGTCAAAGACTTGTGTATGTTTACAAAGACCAATGATTAAAAAATAAAATGTGTCCTATATGAACAGCCCGCTTAAACTGTCACCATGATGATTAACTGTCCTACCTGCTCATTTCATAGAGGAAACGGTCTGCCTTTGCCATGCGGTCT